TTGATATGGTTCGTGAGTCGTTGCAGCAAATTACCCAACCCAAAGACAGGAGAGAGAGTAACGAAGGGAGTGGGAGTAGTTGATGTTAGAGATGATGGAGTGGTACAGCAATTTGGAAACGTTGGACATTTGGGACATGTTTAACCTCCACCTCACAGGAATCAGCTTTGTGCTGATTCTTCACTCCCTCTTTTGGAAAAGCTCCTTACTTTTTTTCTTCCATCCTAACAAACTCACTGGTTTTCCCGCCTTTCTGACCACTCCCTTTCCTCCAGTCTCACAACTACGGTTACGTAATCCAGTTTGGTTTTGTTTTTAATCATGTTTTAGGTGAAGGTTTACAGAGCAAATTAATTTCTCATTACACAATTAATACACATACTGTTTTCTGACATTGGCTGCAAACCCCACGTGTCAATACTCTCCCATTCTCAATTCTGGGTTCCCCATTTCCATTTGTCCAGCTTTCCTGGCCCCTCCTGCCTTCTCATCCTTACCCCTGGGCCGGCGTGCCCCTTTAGTCTTGTATACATGGTTGAGCGACGTGTATTCCTGTTTGTTTTACGGGCCTGTCTAATCTTTGGCTGAAGCATGAACTTTAGGAGTGACTTCAGTACTCAGTTAAAAAGGGTGTCCAGGGGCCATACTCTCCGGGTTTCTCCAGTCCGTCAGACCAGTAAATCTGGTCTTTTCTTGTGAGTTTGAATTTTGTTCTACATTTTTCTCCCGCTCTGTCCGGGACCCTCTATTATGATCCCTGTCAGAACAATCAGTGCCGGTAGCTAGGCACCATCTAGTTGTGCTGGACTCAGTCTATGAGAGGCTGTGGTAGTTATGGTCCGTTAGTCTTTTGGACTAATCTTTCCCTTGTGTCTTTGATTTTCTTCATTCTCCCTTGCTCTGGACACAGTGGGGCCAGCAGATGTATCTTAGATGGCCACTCACAAGCTTTTAAGATCCCAGGTGCTACTCACCAGAGTAGGATGTAGAACACTTTTCTTACAAAATATGTTATGCCATCTGAGCTAGATGTCCCCCGAGATCTTGGTCCCCAGCCCTCACTCAGCCCAGTAACTTGATCCCCACGGGAGTTCGGATATGTCTGTAAATCCTTTGACTCTGCCTTGGTCAAGCTGTGCTGGCTTCCCCAGTATTGTGTACTATCCTTACCATTCACCAAAGTTACCACCTATCTATTGTCTAGTTAGTGTTTTTCCCTCTCTACCCCCTCCTCTGACGTAACCATCAAATATTGTTTCTTTCTGTGGGTAAATCTTTTCATGAGTTTTTATAATAGTGGTCTCAAACAACATTTGTCCTTTATATAACCCAGTTTTAACCTACCTGACTTCCCTTCTCAAATCCCAGATGAGTTCTCAAAATCTTTGTCTCTAGCCCTCTACAATCCAGAATCTGGCTATTCCAAAAGTAACACACACAAACATACACTCCACATTTTAAGCGGCACATTTTTCTCCAAAAAGCCTTATGTTCCCCATTTGTTAGTACCTCACCATTTTCCTTCTAGTCATATACAGTAGAAACCTGCAACATGTCACTACTCTCCATGTGTCTACCATACCATGCGACATGTTCTGAAGGCTGTTAGAACAGTTAACACCTCAAGAATACAGGCCAATCTTAATTTACAAGAGAATAAGACTCCTAAATCAGAGCCTAGTTTTAAAATGTTTATTGCTACCTGTCTATCCTGTGTTCTTCTCTTTCCAAAATAATAATGCACACCAAACACAGAGAAGTTAAGACTAATAGGTAAAATGAGTCAACAGAAACTGTCCAAACCTATACAGAACAAGCAGCCCCTGGTATTACAATCATGTCAGAAAAATATCTTTAAATAAAACGTAACCACTGATATAAGCAATGCTCTCTAAAACGTATGCACTAAACATTGTGGACTTAGGCATTATGTGAATTTTTCCTAGTAAGTGACTCCTGTAATATTTTGTTTTAATTAAATGAGGCATTACTAGGTTTATGGATAAAGCGTTCTTTCTTGTTCAAAACTTAAGAAAAAGCGGAATTAAATGCCATATCTTTATGGGGGGTGGGAATTAAATTCATAGATGACCATCCAAGGGCTGATTTCCTTTCAAGGAAGGAAACTTAATAAAAATTCCCTCCCACTTGCTGCTCTCCATTTTGACCCTCAAGAGGGGTGAATGCAATGCTTCTCAAATTTAATTTCCATATAGATCACCTGGGGACCTTGTTAAAATGCAGATTCTGCTTCAGCAGGTCTAGTATGGGGCTCCCAGGTGAAGCTAATGCTGCTGGTCCTGCTGATCCAGGACCACTTTGAATAGTAAGAAACTAGTTTTCTGACTAACCTTCAACATTCACTTTTAAACTCTGATGTTCATCAAAATCTCCCAAAGGGTTTTATTAAACCCAAGTACTTGCAATTCTGGGGTGAGCTGAGCATCTGTAATAAATATCCACAAGTGATTCTGATACACACCAAGGGTTAAAAGCAGCAGACTTAACACACAAGGAGTGGGAGGGGGGAAGGGTGCCACTTACAGTGTAGTCACTGTACATTTGTTTCTTTATGACATTTCCCACTATGTGGCAGTAAAGCACCCCTCGAGGAAGGGGTACCTTTTTCTAAAGAGCATGATGGCGTTTTAGAGGACAGAGGCAGTTCAGCGATGCCAATCTTGCTACCTGCACACCCCTCTGTCCATGGACTGTGGAACTCCAAAGACGGAAGAATGGAGCTGATAATCACTGCCATGGCCACTCATCAGATCAGAAAGGAAGAGAACGCAGCTGGCAGCAGTGTCCGCCGTCTGTGTCCCCAAGTCAATGCTGGTACCAAAGGTCCCTTCCTCATTCCTATTGGTTTATCCCCGGGCCGAAGAAATAAATCGAACTAGTGAGTTATCGACTGTTCTGCAGGAGAAGTACAAAAGGCTGTTTTCTTCAACAGTTTTTCCCAGAATCTGGAACCAGCTGTTGGTTTACAGAAGTCTACTTTGTTGCCCTGAATTTAACCCAAGGACTACCTTTTCCTGAAGACAGCCAGAAGCATACTTTATTTTAGCATATTTGAGAATTAGACTTTAGGCATGTTGTCCAGAAATACATCCTCATATTTCATTTCTATCTCTGGTGCTGAGGTCACCAAAAGCATCCTAGGAATTAACGTACTATGGTCTCTAGCTAGAAAGTAAGCATTCAGAAGAAGACTTGGTCATATGATTTTCACCTTTTATCAAAAAGAGAAAAAAAGATATTGGCCACTTAAAGCACAGCAATACACAGGTACCTCGTATTCCATACAAAGAGCCCTGGTGGTGTAAATGGTTAAGTGCTTGGCTGCTAACTGAAAGGTTGGCAGTTTGAACCCACTGGAACCCAATCAGAGGCTCAGCAGGAGGAAGACCTGGCGATCTGCTTCCGAACATAAAGACTAAAACCAAAAAAACCAAACTCGTTGCCGTTGAGGCAATTCCAACCCATTCTGACCCTCTATGACAAAGAAGAACTGCCCCATAGGGTTTCCAAGGAGCAGTGAGTGGATTGGAACTGCCAACCATTTGGTTAGGAGCCAAACACTTAACCACTGCATCACCAGGGCTCCTCCAGCCAAGAAAACCCTACAGGGCAGTTCCATCTGTCACATGGTGTCACTAGGAGTCGAAACAAACTCCATGACACCTAATAACATAATAAGTAATCGTATTTAATACATCTACAATTATTTCAAAAGCAAAGTTTACAACTAAATTGGACACCTGTTTTTACAAGTCATGAACACTAAGGAACCAATATAAAATAGCCTGTAAGCACAAATCAAAGCTGCTGTAACTTATTTTTAAAACAAAACAAATTAAAAACAAAAACAAAACCCAGCAGGTTCCCTCGTTTCCTAGAGTGTATTTTGTTACTCTGAAATTTATGGGCAGTTTTCGAAGGGTAAGCCTGTGAAGGGGAGAAAAATATTCCTTTCAAATCCTTTGTGGCTGCAGGAAAAGGGCTACTTCTACCAAATCAAAGACGGTTATATTTATCTCAAACCACCAGAACTGGTGCCAATCTGTGGTTTATCAACTGGAGGATGCCAATTTTTTTTTCAATAGGTTAACGTAAGAAAAAAAAGAAACACACAAAGACAAAGACAAGGAACAGTCATCTAGGTACACATCTTTGGAGATTTGTTGGATAGGAAAAACTTTAACTCGTCCAGACTATGACCATACCATACAACTACCAGAGATGCCCAAAGACACTCTCACGGCCAAAAACACTTTCAGCTTTCAAGTCTGTACCGCTGGCTATGCCCCAGTTGCTATGTTAAAAGCCTGGGTGAGGGGAATATTAGAACGTGAGAGATAAAAAGGGCCAAAGTCTTTTATACTCCCTTCCATTCCAAGAATAAAAGCCCCGGCCCCAGGTTACATCTACAGCTCCTTCAGCCCAGGTCTCTAACCTCCCCGAAGACAAATTCCAATTCCTGGAAAGGCGGTGAGGGACGAGGGCCAGAAGTTCTGCAAACCCTTCGCATCTTGAGCGTGCAAACCCCTTCCACAGTGAGCAGGCTGCTGCGCCGCATGGAAGCAATGCCGAACTTTCCCCTCCTATCTGGTAGCGGGGGCGCGCGGAGGAGCCCCGACATCGGTGCGGGCCGTTAGCGGGGTCAGCGCGGCCAGTGGCCGAAGGGCTGACCTCCCACCCGCGCTGTGGCATGGCCACCAGGGTTCGCTGCCCTCCGCGCCGTCCAGGGACCTGGGCCCGCCGAGCGCGGGAAGCGAAGAACTGGGAAACCAGGCGCTCCGGCGGGCTTAGGTGCCCCGCTGGGGAGAAACGGCGGGGTCTCCACGTTCCGGACGCCCCCGCCGCCACGCGCCGGGCGCACCTGCAGTCGGGGCCCGCGGGGGTGGCCGGGCCCCGCACCCTCGCCTCGCCGGCTGCCCACCGAGGAGGCCCCCGGCGCGCCCCGCAGCCCCGCCCGGATTCCCGAGGGCGCGCCTCACCTGCTTGCCCCGGTAAAAGAGGCGCTGGCACTCGGGCCGCACGTCGAACAGCGCCCACACCCGCTCGCGCAGCTCCTCGATGGTGGCTTTACGGGACACGTCCTCGATGGTGCGCGTCTGGGAGCCGTCGATGGTGCGCACCTGGATCCACATCGTGGCGCCGGCAGAGGGGCCGGCCGGCCCCCCTTTGTCTCCCCCTCGGCTTGGGACGCCGCGCCCCGAACGGCCCGCGCCGCTGCCCCGGTGCCCGCGGCGAGCGCGCGCGGGCTAGGAGGACGGACCAGACGCCGGGCCCGACAGGCGGCAGCGGCGGCTTCAAGACCGCGCGCCCGCCCAGCCAAGCTAAGGAGGAAGGAAAACCGAAACCAGTCAGAGGAGCTGCGGCTGCCGCAACCCCCGCTTCACAAATAGGAAGGAGCCATGTCTGCGCCGCGCGGAGTGTTTACTTATAGAGCTGGAGCTTCCACATGGAGGTCACGGCGCCAACCCTGATCTCGCGAGATCCGCACCGGGCCCCGCCTTAAAGAGGAAGCGGCCGAGGAGAAGGTTACGGACCTGAGGGAACGAAAATGGGCGGGGCGGAGGGGCGGAGCTGCCGAGAGCCGTTACTCGTCTTCCCGCCCGCAGTTGGGTCCGGCACGCACCCTGTGGCCCCCGGGCTTCGGGCGGTTACACAGCCTCCCACGTGGGTTGCCCTTTTAGGTCGTGGTGTCAGAATCGAGGGGACGAGTGACTCCACAGGCCTAACGGACCCGGTTCTCTGCTCTCCGAAAACACACCCCAAATGAGAAACCCTGAGGTGCAACTTGTGTGATCGTGACAAGGGGGCGCGTGCTGGCGCGGCCTACGTTTCTCAGAAAGCGCAGAGTGAAGTGAGCGCGGTGCACGCGGCCTGGCGGGGTCGGCCGCGCGAAAAAGGGCCCACGGCCTCTTCCGCGTCGCGAACGCGTCCCCGAGTGACCCTGAGCGTGAAAATCCGCTCCCTGGATTTGCCCGCGGCGGGCGGAGGTGGCGGCCCCAGGCTCACAGGCCGCGGGGCCTGCAGAGGTCGTCCTCCCGGGCCGCCGCGCTCCCGCTCGCGCCTCTGGCCGTGGAGACAGCGGTGCCGCCGCCCCAGAGCTGCGCCCCGACCGGACGTTCCCGTTTGTGGGCCTTCCGTAGTCGTGGCGCCTTTGGCCTAAGGGGTTGCGGGCTCATGGGAAGTACTGTTTCAAAAGATGCACAACCCCCCACAGAGATGGAGGAACTATAAATTAGGGATCGTATTCTCAGAAATAGATACAACGGAGCACTACCTAATAGTCGGTTTATTTGAAGTGGAAATACGGCTTCATAAGAAGGGACAGAACGTATAAAAGAAAAATAAACCAACTGTGACTTTGTCACAAATGGTAACTTGAATATTCACACCAGTGCTAATTATAGCCATAAAGGTGGTGGGGCATTTTCATAATAAACAATTAAGATATTACAAGCACTAAGGTCCCTGGAAGGAACGCTGGTGGCGCGATGGTTAGGCTGCTAACCGAAAGATGGGCGGTTCGAACCCTCCCAGCAGCTCTACGGCAGAAAGACCCGGCATCTGCTCCTGTAAAGATTACAGCCTAGAAAATCCTAATGGACAGTTCTACTCTGTCACATGGGGTCACCGTGAGTCGAAATAGACTCAATGGCACCTAACAACAAGGTCCCTAGTTGCCGAAAACGGTTTGCATTGCTGGTAACCAAAAGATGGGCAGCTGGAACCCACCTAGCAGCACCGCGGAAGACACAGGCCTGATCATCTGTTCCATAAAGATAAACAGCCAAGAAAACCCTGTGAAGCAGCCGTACTCTGTAACACATGGGGTCTCTAAAGTCACAAACCAAAAATAAAGTCAACAATAAAATATAACCAGCACAGATTAGGCCAGCAGTATTTTAAAAAGACGTGGCCCAACACCTGAGGAATAGCATACACATATTTCAGATCTCTGCCCTTGCTGAAAATTTCACATTCACCTGGAACCTTTAAGTGTAATTCATCTTGTCTGATCCTGATTTGAGTAAAGTAAATATTAAGTATTCATTACATATGTAAATGATAGGATAGGTAAAGCTCGATTATGACCTGCCCTAATAAGGTATAGCTATTGTGGAGGCATATTAATAAATTTAAATTTTAAATAAAAGTAGTTTCTGCCCACAAAGAATTTATAATCTAGTTGAGATAAGGTTTGGAAAAATGAAACTATTAAAGAAAAATTTAGTACTGAACAGTTTGACATTGATTAAAACAGCAATTAGAGATAAGAGAAGGAGGACTAGAATGATCTAGAAGCTTAAGGGTAGAGATAAAACTTGACCTGAGTTAGACGGTATACTGTAGTGGGAGGCAGCATTTAAATGTTCAGTTTATGGATTGAGACGGACCTCAACTGTAACCTCAGTTTTGCTGCTTACTTAAAATGTGATCTTGGACAGCAAGTTTCCTCTATGTGAATGGTGGTTATAATACCTAATGTGTGTAAAGTGCTTAGCATAGTGCCTCTCCTTAGTAGTACACAATAAATTATTTTAGTGCTATTACTATAAAGAGAATTTAGGTAAGCAGAGATTGCCTGAAGAGGAGAGCGCGCTTAGGCAAAGACAGAAAGCAGGGCCAAGTATACGTTTTCACAGGTCAGAAAAGATTGCATATCAGGGAAAGGTGGACTAAATAGAGAAGAGCAGAAGGTGAAGGTTAGCATTCAAATCAGTAGATTTTGTGGGCCCCAGGGAGGAAAAAAGGGTTTTTAAGGAATGCAATGATGTGATTAAATATGTATTTAGAAAGACAGCAGAAGGATTGTAAAAGGATGCCTTCAGGAAAAACAAAGGGACAGGGAGGAGGGGGAGAGATTGTTGCTAGAAAGCCTAGTGAAGGGGTGATGGTGTCAGTTTTGGTGAAATTAGTGGCAGTGGATAAGAGAGGACAGGATGGATTCCAGAGTCTTGGAGAAGATCGAACCTGTAAAACTCGCATGATGTGTGGATGGGAGGGAAGAAGAAAATGGAATGTTGAAAATAATTCCCAAGTTTCCAGCTTGGGAGACTTAAGTGGATGGCTTGGGTAGGTGGTGGTGCTCTTAATGGAACTAGAAGAAGTAACTGGTTGGGAAAACACAGCGAGTTCCCTTTGAGCTGTGTTGCATTTAAAATGCATCCAAAATATACCTAGATGCAGACGTCTGTCGGCTGGAAATTAAAGTCTGCAGTTTTGAAGGGAAGTGAGAAAGTTCTGAGAGAGGAACTAGTCAAGACCTTCTATCCTCAACTCCCATGCGGGGATTTACCCTCCTAATGTGAATTTTACCCTTGGAAAAAAAACGCCACTGCCAAAATTGTGTAGCTACTGAGACTGTACAGCAGAGGAGGTGGAGAAAGTGGTGGTTCAGTGGTAGAATTCTTGCCCTCTATGCCAGAGCCCTGGTGGCGCAGTGGTTAAACGTTTGGCTGCTAACCATAAGGTCAGTGGTTGGAATTTATCATCTGCTCTGTGGGAGAAAGATGGGACAGTCTGCTTCTGTAAAGATTACAGCGTTGGAAACCCTATGGGGAAGTTCTACTCTGTCCCAAAGGGTCACTATGAGTAGGCATCAACTCCACGGCAACAGATTTTATGTGGGAGAACCGGGTTTCATTTGCGCAGCTACCACCCTTCTGTCAGTGGGTTGCTATGATGCTGAACTGGTTTCAGCAGAGCTTGCAGACTAAGACAGACTATGAAGAAAGGCCTGGTGATTTACTTCTAAAAATCAGCCAATGAAAACCCTATGTATTGGGGCTTGGGGTCACTAAGTACTGGGGGTTGACTCAACAGCAGGTAACAACAATATCTGAGACTGTATACTACTGTGTTAACCTAGCCAATATAGATCTCAAAGGATTGGCAAGACAGTGGTTAGAGATGTGAGACCTAGAAATGATAGGCTGCTTGTCTTGTGCAGACCAAAGGAATGACATCTAGAAACATAAGCTTGTGTGTACAGTGAGATACTTAGAATATAAATAATTGCAGATAGTGAATCTATATGTATCAGTATACATCCTTCCTGTGGTTCTCTATGCGCTACATATTGTAACTAAGGTTTTCTCTCTTTCCCCTACAATACTATTGTTGTCTGCTTAGGAATCCTCTAATCCTAGTTGTGAAAACAAGATAGAAGTTTTCCAACAAAAACCACAGAATTAGGCAATTATGACAAAGCATGCCTTATTACCAGATGTGTAGCTGAAACATCTTGGATGTGAACAGGGAAAGAGAAGAGGAATTATTTACATGGATGCAAAGCAAATACCAAAGTTTACACCATCAGTCATTGATCCAATATTCAAGTCAAAAGAAGTAAAACAGAATGGGAAAAGACTGTCCAGTATCTTTGAAATTAAATGTTCTCAATTCTTGGAGCAACTTGGTATGCAGTTCCCGTGGCCACAGGAAGCCCCCCTGATCCTGTCTGTCCCCTTTACACACCTATGAGAAAGGACTTTGGAGGGAGGGAGGAGTAACGGCAGCTGAGCTGCTAAATGAAGACCCCTGCTCCATCCTGCCAATAAAATACTTCTTCATAAGTAAATATCCTAGATTCTTTTTATCACACCTGAAAATGTCTCCAGTTTTTTCAGCTAACATCCCAAAGTCAAGACGTTATAAAAACACAAACAAATTTCAGTCTGCTCCCTAAAGCTATGATGACCACCTTTTTATTTACACCTCTGTGCTGGAGATCTTCCCTATGCTCCTCCAGGGACACTTACAGGCTTGCTGCCCTAGAGATCAAGGGTAGACAGTACATCATCTAGGTGGTACCCTAGGCTTCTGGCTGAGTTTGGCCCATGAGAAGGGAACACAGAACGAGAGACTACGGGATGTGAAGAGAACTAGGTTGGGATATATATATATCCCCCTGGCTTTCTCCGTGAAATGTCAACTCAGGCTGTCTGTTACCTTCAGCCGGTCACTACCCCTCTGAAACTGGCCTGCTCTGCATGACACCCTCTTCCATGTTCTGGTTAAACTTCTCCCTCCCCTCGTTGCTTTGGGCTTAGAAGTTGTAGCAGCTTTACTGTAACTAGTTGTAGCAGCTTTACTGTAACAAGTTCTATTCCTTTGGTTCCCTATCTCTTGCCCTACACCTTCATAATTTGTCTTTCTGGGGGAAAAATGGAGCCCTGGTGGTACAGTGATTAAAGCACTTGGATGCTAATCAAAAGGTTGGCAGTTCAAACCCGCCAGCCACTCTGCAGGAGAAAGATGCAGCAGTCTGCTTCTGAAAAGAGTCAAAAAAAAAAAAAAAAAATCCAAGTCCGTTGCCATTGAGTCAACTCTGACTCATAGCAACCCTATAGGACAGAGTAGAACTGCCCCATAGGGTTTCCAAGAAGCACCTGGTGGATTTGAACTGCCAACCTTTTCGTTAGCAGCCAAACTCTTAACCACTATGCCACCAGGGTTTCAGCCTTGGAAACCCTGTGGGGCAGTTTTGCTCTGTTCTGTAGGGTTGCCATGAGTTGCAATTGACTCAACAGCAGTGGCTTTTTTGGGTTTGGTGAAAAAAAAGCATTAAATTATCGTAACTAGAGGTTTTCTGTTATCATCTGTAACGCTATCTTAGATAGAACTACATATCATAGGAAACAAATTAGAATTTCCACTGACTAAAAAGCACATTATATTGTGGCTTCATATTACTTAAACTTGCCATATTTTTTTTTAATAGAATAGCAGATTTTTACTGTGGAAAACTACTTTAGAGATCATTCTGGTCTTTCTCTTTAACAAATGAGGAAGTGCTCTGACCAAGAACATGTAACCAGTGAGCGACTGTGTTAAAGCTTGAATCTCTGCTGTCCTTCCTCTTTTACCTTTTTACCCTTTAGCTAATTATCCCTCTTTTGTTTCTCTGAAGGCAGCCTCCTCCCCTTTCACTTTGTCCCTCCTGTAGTGAGTGCCCCGGGTTCTTTGGAATACGTGATGACTCAGGTGGGAGCGGGGACCTGGGATTCTCACTAAAGACCTGCTAATTTATCCCTGTTTTCAGCTCCATGTCTTGTGAGATTGGTACTTCCTATTGCTGAGCCTTTCTGGGAGTCTTTGGATCAATTCAGCATGGATTTTCCCCACAGAAAGCAGTTAGGTTCAACTTCGTAATGATG